TCGTGCCGTAGGGCGTGGGTTCGTCCCCAGCGGGGTTATTTTTGTGTTTTTCGAACACTTGGATGTTGGTTACCATATTTCTCAAACATTCTATGAACTTCATTTTATCGTGTCCAGTCCGGTCCAGCCCGTAATGAGCCCTTTGCAAGACCATCTCGATCGATCAACAGCCCCTCGAAGCTTTTCTCACCAATGACCACCGGCACCTCCTCCTTCTCATCATCATCAGGAGGAGACGTCTACTGGCAAGCAGACACTCCCTTGCCACTAGCAGTAGACGCTATTGATATCAGGGAAGTGCCAGGAGAGGTTCAATTCAGTGAGGAGACCGTGAAAGGTAGGAGGTAATAGCAGTTGAGCGTGTTGAAGTCCTTACTGCAGTGTGAGACAGTATGTCCATGGTCATCAACCACATATGTTGGTGACAATACGATAATTCTTTGGCGGAAATTCATATTGATTGATGTACACTTCTTTCCGAGTAAACTTATAAACTTGTATAATGTCGGCTTTGGAAACTCCTGAGTTCAGCTAGGATGAAAGCGAACATATATTCCTCCTCCAACAATGCCTTTCTCGAGAAGCTATTGTCCTTTGATAGGTGCACAGAAGTACTGGGAGGACGTAGTAATTACGTCCAATCCCAAGACCTTCGATGGTCGCGTATGGGGAGTACGGCAATGGCGATCTTTGGGCCCTAACAAACTTCAAATTGATTTACAGAAGTCGTGGTATCGGTATCAGCTGTAAGCCTGAGGGGCCGAGGACTTGGAGTCATAAGCAGTGAGGAGAAGGGAATTCGGAGGTTGTTTTACATCTTCACAACGCCTTTCTGGAAAACTAGGAAAAGGGGAATTTTATGAGAGTATATAATAAGCTTCTGTGAAAAAAAATTGAAAATGTGATATTTTCACGCACGATTATATCCATCTACCTTACGAGTATCAATAGTAACTTCAAATTCGTTCACCTGTCCTTCTGCTGAAGTTACTTTTTTCCAAATAGGCGTTGAAATATCAAACTCAGCGACCATCACTACGGTGTATTCAGTTACCTCCACTTTTCCCCACGGGCCCTTTCCCTGAAGGAAAAGTTGAACCCATTTGGGTGTTGTGCTATCACTCTGGTGGACAACAGTACTGCAATAGTGGCTGGGAGAAGGTCTTCGCAGGTTGCATGCTGTCCTAATATGTGGCATCTTACTCCTGCGGGTGAACCATCGTTATGTATCGGTTGAATGGTGATAGTTTTTCCCCCCAGGCACTGTTGACATCGACGATCCGGTGGCTGTGATAAGGAAGGAACTGTTGGAAGAGCTGGGCGTATCTCGGAGGTCTCTCGATGTTCGTTTGCTCGGTGAGTTTACTATCATGAGAGTTGACTTCATCTTCTTGTTGACATCTTGAAATGGATCGTCCCCTCAGGTCTTTTTAACACTGGTGAGGAGCAGGCCTATAAGCCAGAGTTAGTCTTTGTCATCGACTTGGGTGACACAAAGGCTGAAGATATCCTATCGAGGCAGGCTGTGGACAATTGGGAACATAGCAGGATACGAGCGGTAGGGCGGTCGGCTCAATGGTGGGGTGGTCGTATGTAACATGAACTTGGAGTAAGTGCTGTGGTTAATAATAGTGAGTAATAATTTTTCATTACTGGTGATGGTTTTTATTAATGGAGTTTCACCCTAGTGATATGAAAAACACTAGTGAGAAACACATTTGACGGCTACTGCATATCACGGCGAATATCGGGTTTTTTCCACAGAGTATTACGCCACTTCACGTAGAACGGGTGAAACTCCGTTGATAAAAAAGCAAGTACTTGAGGATAGACTCGTCCTTCAATTTAATAAGGGAAGTACTTGAAGATAGACCTTCCCACTCGTCCTTCAATTTAATAAGGGAAGTACTTGAAGATAGACCTTCTCACTCGTCCTTCAATTTAATAAGGGAAGTACTTGAAGATAGACCTTCTCACTCGTCCTTCAATTTAATAAGGGAAGTACTTGAAGATAGACCTTCCCACTCGTCCTTCAATTTAATAAGGGAAGTACTTGAAGATAGACCTTCTCACTCGTCCTTCAATTTAATAAGGGAAGTACTTGAAGATAGACCTTCCCACTCGTCCTTCAATTCAATAAGGGAAGTACTTGAAGATAGACCTTCCCACTCGTCCTTCAATTTAATAAGGGAAGTACTTGAAGATAGACCTTCCCACTCGTCCTTCAATTTAATAAGGGAAGTACTTGAAGATAGACCTTCCCACTCGTCCTTCAATTTAATAAGGGAAGTACTTGAAGATAGACATTACCACTCGTCCTTCAATTTAATAGTAGGCATTGGCATTAGTTTGATGAAAGCGTAATAGTGTGAGCCATATAGACCTGTGTACAGATACCATTGACTGAGATCGAACGAGTCCTGCATGACCAGCCGTGGACTTACGTATCGAAAGTTGCGATTAGAAGTTTCCTCAGTGTATATAAACATATGTAATCGTATGCATAATGTTTTTCTATATATGTGTTTCTATTGAGTTATTCGTCTTCCTCATGTTGCAGTTGACTCTTAGAGGGTTTTTGTCATGGCGCATCTCTACGTTGATTTGACTCCGAGTACGAAGTACTATGATAAGAAGTCGGGCTTGACCAGAGAGGAGTGGTATGATAGTTTGCAGAGGTCGTCGACGCTGTATGTTGGCAACCTCAGCTTTTACACAACGGTAGGAGTTTGTTCGTGGAAAATATGCACAAAGTCAACAACTGCATGTGTTGGTGACAATACGAAAACTCCGAGAAAATTCTTATTGATTTCTGTACATTTCTATGCGAATTCGGACGTGAAATTGTATAATAAGTGAGATCAGCTGAACATATGTTTGTTGTTATGTTTTCAGGAGGAGCAAATTATGGAATTGTTCTCGAAGTGCGGTAAAGTTAAAAAGGTAATAGTGAACTATTCGATGAGATTAATAAGGCTCTTCGTTGTTGAAAGGTGACGATGGGTTTAAATCGATTCAAGAAATCCCCCTGTGGCTTCTGCTTTGTGGAGTACGACTCCCGAGAGGACGCGGCATGGGCACAGAATTTGCTCAATACCTCTAGCTTTGATGATAGGGTAACAGGGGGCAGGGGAAGGGGAGGTGGTTTTATGCAACTGGCACGACTATGAATGGTGAGGGTAGTTTTATGCAACTGTCACAGCGACAATTATTATCGTGCAACTGGCACGGCTTCAATTGATAATGTTTGTTTAATGGAGCTGACACGGCTACAATTAGTAAGTCATTCATTTTATGCAACTGGTACGGCTATAATTCTTAATGTCTCCGTTTTATGCAACCGGCACGGCTACAATTAATAATGTCTCCTTTTAACGCGACTGGCATGGTTACAATAAATAATGTCTCCATTTTATGCAACCGGCACGGCTACAATTAATAATGTCTCCTTTTAACGCGACTGGCATGGTTACAATTAATAATGTCTCCATTTTATGCAACCGGCACGGCTGCAATTAATATTGTGCAGCCGGTGTGGCTGCAATAATTAATGTTTTTCTATGCAACTGGTATGGCTACAATTAATAATGACTCCGTCTTATGCAACCAGTGCGGCTACAATTAATAATGCTTGTTTTTTGCAACTGACAGGGCTACAATCAATAATACTTGTTTTATGCAACTGGCACAGCTACAATTGACCAACCCCACCTCTCCTCGTGTTCGTAGGTCATCAGAGTAGACTGGGACAGCGGAGTGTCAGCAGGAAGGCAGTTCGGTCGCGGTCAGACAGGTGATCAATGGCGAGATGATTTCCGGGATGACTTCGACCCCTCTAGAGGTAATAATGCTCATACCACACCTCCGTCACATCCTGTGTACATCAGGGGGCCAGGGCCGAGGCTTATTGAAGGCACTTGAGAGCGGTGACGGTAACCAGTTGTTTGTTGGGAAGAGGGATAGAGAGACACGGTACGTGTAGGGCGGCCTTCCTCCACTTGCGTGTGGAAAGTATCATTGCTGATATTTTTGTAAAGTCCCTGCCTTTATAGAGCGTCTCATCGTCGCGTAAGGGCGTTCGTTGACCGTGAGTGAATGATGATGAATTTTCGATATGGGAATGGAATTGTCGATGCCATGGTTGATAGGCTGTGGGCCGGCGAGGGATCTAGTCTTATATAGGGTAAAAAGTGTGTGAGTTATGGTACTGTTATGGAGTGCTCAATTTCATGGAAAGAAAATCGCTTCGCTCCGCTCATTGAGTTTGCGTACGAACGTAGCTCAGTCTTCATAAGGAGCTTTACGGCTTTCATCACTCTGGCACTTGGTGAGTGCGAAGTCTACTAACGACTCTGCTCTAAAAAGGAACGGAGTGTTTACTTTACTCATATATTCGTATTGGTATTTACTATCCTATATAGGTCTAACGACTTCTACTATGGCCAGCGTAAGGGTGGAGGAGGAGGATTCCGTCGTGCATCATTTGGGTCGTATGGGAGTGGAGGAAAGGGTAGTATTGGGCGCAGTATATGGGAGATATGCACATGGTCATCAACTACATTTAAATCTGGGAGAATTCTTGAGAATTTATAAGGAAACTTCTGAGCTGAACTGAGGGGAGTGAGGAAATATCCGTTTAAAAATTGGCGAACACTTGAAGAGGAGGTCACGAGTTGCTGTTCTTGTTGTTGTTGTTGGTTTAGGCACCTATTCACAGTATCAGCAAGGGGGAAGGCAGTACCAGTCGGAAGGAGGTGGTCAGCAGGGAGGCGAGGAAAGGCCGTATAAGAGGGCACGATACTAGGAAAGTATTCAACACTTATGGACACGATGATGATGGTCTCGAGTTGTCATTGGTGATGGTGTGGTATGAGTAGTTTGCTGTTTTATGTTGTTGGTAGTTGTATGGTTACCCTCAGCAGTACTTGCGGGAGTGTGTGTCCGACCATTCCCCGTAGATGATGTTGTTGCAAGTCTCCGGTCGAGAATACTATTACCATTAGCAGCGTTGGTGACACCAGATGGTGACACGGTGTGTGATTCTTCACAGGATGGTCCTAGATGTTCTGGGTTGGGCCCTGCTGGTGATGCCCCTGTTGTCAGTGGTCTTCTGTGTAGAAAGTTATTGTTCGAAACTGGAGTTCATAAGGCTTCAATAAGGCATTCAGTAGCGGCACATTTATCATCTATGTTGTCGTTATTGAACTTAAATGAAGTGCCGAAACGTCGTAGTAGTGGCGCGTTTCAAAGGGACGTGTGGGTAGGAGGAAATAGTATAGGGGACATTGGCATGCGAAGCACCGGTAGAAGTGTTGTTTTTGGTGATAATATTACTATAACATCATTGCGGCTGAAGGGGAAGGGCCGACTGCTGGTGCGGGGAAGTAGTGGGGGGGAAGTGCTGTGGTCGGCCCAGCGGTTGGGGAGGTCGGTGAGCAAGGAGGAGGAGGAGGACTTGATGCTGGATGCGGTGTCTTTGGCTAGTCCTGTGGTGGGCAGGGCGGACGTGCATGCAATCGATAAGTTGGAGTTCTTTGGTGGTGGCGCGGATGAGCTCGTAGAGTTAAGGGCTGTGACGAGAGGTCCCGGGTTCGAATCCCACGGGTTGCAAAATTTATTTGTGGTATTGGATCCATGGAATGAACGATCAGTCGTGTGGAGAGGACGACTAGCCAGTACGGCTCCCTATGTCGACTATAACACTGTTATCAAGGAGGGCTTGAAATGGGCCCCCACACCTACTACTACTGCCGATCGGCCTCGGCTGTTCACGGCCACCCTCTTGGATAGGGCGATGACATATTGTGGAAACAGGTCTATTTCAGTGGACCTGTGGGAGGAAGTGATCGATCGGATCGCAGAGGGGTCGAGACGCTATTATAAGTCCTTTGATGAGGTTGTTGATGCCTTAGTGAGTTCATATACGGGTCGAGGAGCGGAGCAATTGCTGGACTTCTTGGTGGAGTCGGATTGGACAGCAGTAGGAGGGTGTGAGGTTGGTGTGATGGAAGGGAACAGGAGGATGTTGTGGCGGTTGAGAGACGACTTTGAGGGGCTAAGTGGTCTGGAGGAACCACTGAGTAGCGATTGGAGTGGTATGAAAACGTCGGGAGTAGGGAAGCGTCCCCTTGTACGATATGTTGATGTCGACGATGTGACTACTGCGGTGGAGGAAATGCTGATGGAAATTTTGTCGAGTGATGGTTGAGGTGAT